CTACGAGTCAGACTTAAGTCGCCAGATTGGAGGACTCTGTGACTTGACTCTGAATTAACAGTAGATAAAAGACTTGAGACTGACTTTGAGGACATATGCTAGTTCATGACTTGAGATCTTGACTTAAAACTTTGCCCATGAAATGACTCGACAAGTCATTGTCCTGTCTTTTATTTAATGTGTGAGTTAATCGAAAAAATAAATTATTTTTGGATTTGTATTTCCTGTTCTTTGCCTGTGGTTTGTAACCTGGCAACCTTGGTAATCGTTATACCCAAATGACGCCACCATTCCACCTGTCTGGCATTTGGTTGTATGATGGAACGGAAGCTATAGGCATGCCACTACGATAGGATGGGAACTAACGGATAGATGCTGCCTGACACTAGCAAAAATGAATGTTCCCAATTGATAGAAATAATCTGGTTTCATGAGGACTTCTTCTAACCTACTCCTGCACGCTCTCTTGCATAATCTTGCGCTGCGTCACATCACTTCTTCCTCTTCTCGCTCGCTCCCCGCCAAGCCTCGCTCGCCTCCTCAACCTCGGCTCGTCCCACTCACCACCTTACGCAACATTTTACGCCACAGCTTGCTTTCCCCCAAAGGGAATTGCGCTACTTCTTATAACAACACTTGAAGCGCTGAGCCAGTTAGCATCAAAAAAAAGCTTATATTCTATTAAAAGTATTATATATTTATATATTTAAATTAGTTACACACAGTAATTATTGTTCCATGACTTGGGATCATTTAATAATATAGTTTAGCTCACTCTTCATGGGTTCCAGTCGGTAATCTATAATTTCCTGGCAGCATATTTAATAATTAAACTTTGTAAGATATTTAATCAATGAAAAAGATTCCAGTAATAATTTGGTATTTAGGTATTACACTGTGATAAAAAAAAACATGATGCACAAGACTGAAATGATGCCATATTTCTGTTTTGTTCTATTTTAGTATAGCTGCAAAAAAAAATAAAAATGCCAAAAATAATCGCTGGAACTAAAATAAACTAAACAAAAAAAAAAAATAAATCGATAAGATTAGTGGACAGCCCAAAAAAATAATGTTAGTTGCAGCCCTAGTACAATGCTACAGCTGAAACAATTCCAATATAAAGCCTACCGCGGTCTGGCATAGCTAGCGCGGGCATCTGAAGCTCACTTATATGAGCGTGCGTAATTGTCATGTCTGGACAGTTGTACATTAATTCATGATGTTCAATGCAGCCTAATACATGTCCTGGGTTTTACTTTATCCAACACACTTGTATATAAGTCACAGGAACTAGTGACGAAGTGTAGTTAAGAAGATATATACAGCCCATTGATCAGCTTAGAATATAGAGAACATGAGACAACCATTTTCAAAATAGTTTACACTTATTTTTGAACTCTCACAACCACCACCATAATTTTAATTGCACCATGTTACCCTGTGTATTTAATGAATACTATGCAAGAAAACATGAGCTTACCAGCATTTATATCGTACCGGTTTGTCACACAGCTTATATATATTATCTACTGTCTTGACTTGACTTGACTGTCACCTGGGACATTGCTTGAACCTGGATAGTATAGGATCTTAGACTTGCTTATGGATGACTTTCTCATGTGTGAAATCTTATTATCACCACCTCTGACACTAACACAAAAATCACACACATTACAGTGAATCTTGAACTATCATCATATTATTCCATCAACTTGAGCTATCCTGTTCTAACGACTAAATTTGCGAAATTGTTTGTAAAGTCAGAGACAGGCCCAATCATCAAGTATACCATAAACATGCTGCTTTAATTGCCACGGCTCTTAACTTTTACATACACGGAGCACTGTCTGCTTGTAGTGTTGTAGTTTTAGTTGTGTGTGTGTGAGTGTTGTGTAGCGTGGAGGAAGGGGCTTTATATGTAATTTTTAGATGATTTTGACTGTAACGGTCACTGCACGAGTGGCATCCATGGTGTCAAGACGATAAGAGAGAAGATTAACACCTTGATCTCAACTCGATCCTATTGATAAGAACTCATTTACTCAGGGAGCAGTATCAGACCAGAACTTATATTGTGGTCATTTGGTCAACTTACCAGTGCGCTTAGCAAAGATTAATAATTAATATAAAATATATATAAAATTAATCCATAATTTTATTCAAATAATTAATATAATACAAGCCATATAGAATATAATATGAAACCGTCATTTCAAACAGGAGGAATTCCTAGTCAATTAAATAATAGAGTTAAATACCAGTAGTTAAATTATAAAAATTTCATTATAATTTATATTGTAATTTAAAATATTAAATAATAAATACGTTTCATGTCTATATAAAAACTCCATATTACAATAGTGGACTGAAATATCTGAGGAACATTGATCATTAAGTCTTGACATATAAACCAAACAAAATTTTACATCATTTTATTATCTGAGATTACAACGTTTTGTAAAGTGAAAACATTCATCGATAAACTAATTTTCCCTATTAAATTCAAATTCTATTATTATTATATATAATAGTATATTATAATATATAAAAATGATGGCAAAATGATACTATTATTATCTTGAGAGTAGACGATGTGGTGATACACCACTGTACGCAGTTATATTATTGGGGAAACATGTAGTGGATAAAGTTAATCTGTCAAAACCAATATTCTGTTATTGCAAGTCAAGTATTTGAGTGTTAAATATAATGGGAACTAACATTGGCATTAAGAACATTGAGGTATGTTAAAGCTAACTTATTCATCTGCTGTGATGAGTGAACTTTTTAATGCGTCTGGCAAATATAGTGAATTTAAAGCGGAGCACATCTATCACATCTATCTATCCACCATGTTCTATCCTCTACATACCGTAACATAATCATGCTATCATATATATCTCTGCAGAGACAACATCATCTACATCAACACCACACATCACACAACAACTACACACACAACATTACCACAATACTCTGATTGGCTATCTCTAAGTGCCCGCAAGGGCGGTCCATTTGTCAGCAACGTCGGGAATGATGTTACTGGCAAAAAGGACAAAAAATGATATATTTAACTTTAACCTTCTACTACACCTCGAACTTATATACACCTCTGATGGCCTTGTACCTGTCATGCGAGTATACAGATATGTAACTCGACTACACATTTTTTCATGTACATGAAATACTTGCCACGAAGTGATGTCGTTGTGTGTGCTGTGTGTGTTGTGTGTGGGTGTGTTGGCAATTCATTAATGTGTGTAAGTGTGTTTTAACATGGTTTAGGATGATCGTCGTATCTAAGTCTGTCCGAGGTAGCGGTATTGATGTTAGTTTGTAAATAAAAATCGCAATTCGCATAGTGACCGGCCTTACAACTTTCGTCCATATTTCTTATGATTCTACAGACCTATTTTATATCTATCAGGAGTTAGTTTTTGAACCCAGGATCTACTGAGTAGTAGAAACGTGTTTGTTGTCGTGTTGTGTTGTATGTGTTTGTGTAGTGTGGTGTGTGTATGTGTATTGTTATAATTTTTTATGATGTGGATGTTTGGATGCTTTGTTGATGTTTTAGTGTGTGTTGTGTGTGTTTGGTTATTTTAATTGAACGTAATGAGAATAATAATTGTCAGAAATGAGCGTCCGTGCCTCCGTTCGTGTTAAATGACAGAGGAACTGACCTGAATATAATAGAATCTGTCTCACTGTACAGGGTTCTGTTGTATTTGCTGTGGGAAGAACAGACTGTAGCAGTCAGGCAGCTGTGCAGGTTACCTGGTTGTTGTGAGGCATCCCGTAGAGCGCCTCCACCAGGTCGGCTGCCCTCTTCAACAGCACCTCCTGCAACAGAGAGAGGAACTCATCAAACAGGAAGTACACAACCCGCCACAATAAGACCACAGTCTGTGTGTCTGTTAGCATAGCCCCGATCAACCAAACTCCATTCAGAAAACAAGCATTTTAAAAGCTGTGTGCTTTTCGTCGTCAGACAGACCATAAATCTCCATCATGATGTCATTGTTTCAGCATAGTATTGATCCGTTTATTGATATTAAATCAGTTATTCTGGGCTCTTACTGCAGCAGTGAGAATGTGAATGAACGGGGATGGAAACCCTCAGTGTGTGTGGTTGTTGACCTGATGGAGCTGATACTATTAAACAGTGTTTATTCTAATCAGAGCTCAGTTACACTTCACAGAGCGCACACACACACACACACACACACACACACACACACACGTACACTGCCTGTGTACGTGTGTGTGTAATCAGGCAGCAGAACAGAACAATGCTTCGTTGAGTCTTTATCTTAATTAAACACGCTCTCAGTTAATCTGCTGCTTTTCATTACAAACTTCTTCAATTAACCCCGCCCCCTCAGCCCTCCATCACTCTGCATCCATCTCCTCTTACCCTCCATGGTTTCCTTTTATTTCCTTTACTTCCTTTTTTATTTTCTCTTCTTCGTCTTCTTTTTATTATTATTATTATTATTATTATTATTATGATCTGGAATGATGTAGAAACATTAAACTTGGTCCAATAACAGGAAATGATAAGTGGGAGTCGACCAGACGGTGGCGCTGTGATTAAAGCCCAAACATCACGCAACCATGCCCCCTCACACCGTAATGGTGGTTCAATTATTAATGCCAATAAATTACAAAAAAAGACTCATCCCGTTCTAAGCTCAAACTATTGATCTGTGTATAGCGGCGCTTTGGCAGCGTCTGTTTGGAGGAATTAAAAAGTTATCGCTGTTCATTCACAACTAAATGTGTTTGTTTCTCGTTCAATGTGCTCGACTCATTTCTGACATTTCCTGCTGTCTCCTCCTGAACCGTCTGTCCGACTGCTACCAAACCTTCTGTGGATCATCATCGGTCGGAGCTGATCAATAGTTGCATAAAGCTTATTGATTTCTTATTTAGTTTTCAACATATTGACCAATGAGCTTCAGAGGGGGCGTGGCTCCGCACATAAACAGACATCAGTAAACAACCGTTGGACCGATCATCACAGAACTCACGTTTATAATATATATAACATAATATAATATAATATATAACATAATATAATATAATATATAACATAATATATAAATATAATATAATATAATAAAATATATATCAATGTGTACAAACATTTCTACATTTCTATCTGTTTGCTCTTTTCTATCAGTTATTTCCTCTTTTAACCTTGTGTTTCCTCTTTTGTCTCTGCTGTTATCTCTTTTTATTCTTTCATCAAACAAATGTATGAGCTGATTATTACATCAGAGTGTGTGTGTGTGTATTACTGAGTGTGTGAGAGAGTGAGTGTGTGTTACTGTGTGTGTGAGTGTGTGAGAGAGTGTGTGTGTGTGTTACTGAGTGTGTTGTGCTGAGAGGAAGTCATTTCAGTGAAGTAGCTTTCAGCCTCTGATCGCCTTTAATCTGCTCGTTTATGCAGAGCGACGTTGGAGTGTGTCACAGTGTGAGAGCAGATTTATTCACGCACGCACACACACACACACACACATACACACACACACACACACATAGTGACAAATGAAAGCCTTATTATTACAAGTGTTTCACTGTTACGCAGCGAGATGACAAGCACCTCTCTCTCCCACACACACACACACACATTAACGGGGTTACCACAGCGATAGAGCTGGAGGTTGGGATGTCATCACTGAGGAGGAAACCAATTATTCTTTAAAGCCCACACACACACACACACACACACTCCTTCAGCAGCAGGAAATGAAGCTTCATAAACGCGACGTCGTTAATAATTACAATCAGAACAACGTTAATAAATAATAAAATCTGTCTGATGGAAGACGGAAGATATTTAATGCCGACATCAACAACAAAGAAACATAATTTTATTCTGTGTTATTCTTTAAGACACTCAGGCCCAACAATTAAAGATTAATCAATTGTCTCATCACTTTATTAAAAACCTTAAAGACTCATTGGTTTCTCCTGGGTCACATGACATCCTGCAGCAACCAATCAGCAGCCTCTGTGGCTGCTAACAACAATAAGAACTTTTATGTTCAGAACTTTAAAAATCTACGTTACTAAGAGCTTCACAAAAAATGTTATAAAAGTCATAAACTGAAAGATTCCAGTTTTAGTGAAGCAGGAAGGTGAATTATCTTTAATTATTCATACATACATAATTTTTTTTAATGATTTACACTGACATCATCGACACTACACTGTAAAAAAAATCTGTAAGTTTACAATATTTTACAGGATTTTTATGTATTTTATAAATGAAGTCTGTTAATCACTAAATTACTGTTTATTTAAAGAACATGTCCTTTTTTCACATAAAAGATTAAAATAAATTTGGAAATCTATAATTTATATTTACTGTTTATTTAATAGAATAAACTGTTAAACTCCAGTTTAATACTGTTAATAATTTATAAGATTGTGTTAAATTTGTTTTAGTTGTGTAACTTTAATGGATTAGTTATGTTAACTGACAGACATAATCTTGTATAATGATGGAAGTTGAATATAATTTTTGTTAATTCCGTGTATAAGCATTGGTAAACTGTCCAAATACAGTTTTTATCAGTGTAACAGGCAATAATTACTGTAATTTTCACAGATAATGACTTTTATTACAGTATCTATAACTTTTAACATTCACATTAAAATAATACCAATTCCAATAAAACAGCACTCTGCTGTAAATGTAAGTCTGGATTCATGTATTATAGCAGAGTTCACCTGTATTTATAGATCATTGTTTTACACTGTATATCTTTCAAACTTAAAAGATTTTAAGTTAAATTAAAGCTAAAAAATTTTATTTTAATTATCGGAAATTACTGTAATTTTATGAGATTATTTTTGTTATTTGACTGTATTTCTTGGCGCAAGCTGACAGTTTTATTACTGTTTTTTTGACAACCAATCAGCTGCTCCGGGATTTATATCCAGCCTGTGACGTAACTTTTAATTAGTTCCTTTCTCTCTCAGAGAATCTGAAAATGGGTTTCCTGTGAACCAACCAGAAAATACACCATGTGTCAAACACGGCAAAAACACGAGAGGTGATATTCTTTTTTATTAATCTATAAGGAGAAGCTCGATAATATGTGTGTGTGTGTGTGTGTGTGTGCCAATCTCCTTTCTGCCAACATGGCTGCACTCACTGATTAACTGATTTGACTGTTTCAACCTCCCTGTTTGCCATGGGTTTATTACACACAGCCACACACACACACACACCACTCACACACTCACACCCACACACACACACCACCACAACACCACACACTCACACAACACACTGGATTTTACCTTTCCATTTCATTCATTTCAATCATCTCTTACGCTGTGTTGGTGTGTGTGTTTGTATGAATTATCTCTTGTTCCTTGTGTTTCATTCTTACATTAAAACATTTAACAACCTAAAACGACTTTAAAGCAGATTTTAGGTGATTTAGAGCCGCTGTATGGATTCAGCGGCGCCGGCAAGGCAGCCGAACCCTAACTGCTCTCGCACCGCTGCTACGTGTGCCTCATCCCACTCACCATCTCTGTTTGTATAAGCCCTGTGTGTGTGTGTGTGTTAGTATGTGTGTGTGTGTGTGTGTGTATTAGTCTGTGTGTGTGTGTGTGTGTGTGTGTGAGTGTGTTGGTAAAAAAAGCAAAACTTTTATTTGTATAGCACCAATTCATAACAGCTGCTGTCTGCACTCACTCTGCAGACGCACTCTGCACAGATGAAGCTGGTGTTGAGCTCTGTACTGTACATACACATACAGTACATGCTGCTGCAGACAGACCTTTCCTACGCTAGTTATTGAAACACGCTGCCTCTCCACAGGCGCACCAACGTGCTCTACCAGTCAACCACTGGGACTCTATGAGGCCTTTCTGGCGGTACCACAGGCCCAGGTGCCGATACCTTCGCAGCAGTGCAACCAATAGTACTATCACATTCTTCTAGTTGGATAGTCCTACATTAAAGACATTTAATATCTAACATGAAATAAAATACGTCTTTGTTCCTCCCCCCAGTGCAGTGGGACCTTCAGACGGATCAATATCATCAACGTACACCTGCACTAACCAGAACCAGAACCATTAAACTGCTGAAGCTGCGACTGAATATCATCCTGGTTGGTGCTCACAGGTTCAGTCTAAGATGGCTGCCAACATAGAAAGAGTTCAGTCTAGAACCTGGTCCAGGATCAGTTTCTGTATCTGAACCGAGGCTCCAGTGATCGATCGTGTCCTGTTTGTAGACACGAGGATTTAACCAGGTTTGTGAAACCAGGACCTCAGAGTGTAAACAGCGGATCAATAAAGGTTCAGAGGATTACTTCCAGTTATTAGACTTCCTGTGGTCGCTCTGCTGAGCACAAGGCATCGTGGGTAATTGAATAAAAGCACTGCAGATGAATTATTAAAGATGGTGGTTTTCATTACGTAGCTAACAGCGTGTCAGTTCACAGACCTCCTTCAGTCCGGATCTGGTTTACTGTCATTCTCATTGATTCTGCTGCAGTTAGCGTCAGACCGCCAGCTACTGATCCAGGACCAGGTCCAGGTCTTTACATTCTGATAGAGAACTATATATATTTCTTTGTTATGTCCCTTTTACTGCAGGTTCTCAGGTTCTGAGTCTGTCGGCGCCGGGCCGACAGACTGGCTGAACTGTGTAATTACAGCGATATCGTCCGTCACGTGATGCGCACTGACCCAAACAGACTTTTTCCCATAATGCATTGTGAAAGAATCAGTGGACTAACATTAAAGTCTAGAAAATCCATAAGATTAAATTATTTATCCACATTCAGGTTAACGGAGGGCTGACAGGAAGTCAGCAGTCTCTACTGAGCGTGCTCAGGGTTTTCATTGAGGTTATTCCTTTACAACAGGAAGTGTCTGACTCCACTGAGCAGCTTTCTTAACGCTGGTTACAGCTGACACTAGTGTACCTCACCTCAACCATCAGTAACTCCACAGGCAACCTGCATGTAAAGTCACCATTAATCAACATTAATTCAACCTTTAATCAATAATAAATAAAGTCATCCACAGAAATGAATCTCATCTTCCAAAAGGAATGAAGGACCCAGTTCTCTTCTAGCTGTTAGCAACCTCAGCTATCACCCCGTCTGAAGTGAAGCTCAGTACCGTCTCTGTTCATCGGATCGGGCCTAACACAACCTCTGCCTGTGACCCTGCGTGGGGCCGTGACCTCAGGTTGGGAACCACTGCTGTAAAATATGATTGTACGTTGTAGATTTCCATCAGTGAAACAAACCGACGTCTGATTGTTTGATTGTTCGGAGAAACATTTTGACCGAGAAATCTGTGTGTGTGTGTGTGTGTGTGTAGATGATTATCAGCTCTCTGAGCAGCCAACCAGAACACAGACTGATGGAAAAAACAGCAACAATAATCAGTGATTGTGTCTGTGTTTGTTTAAAACGATTGTTTGTCTGAGTGTGTGTGTGTGTGTGTGTGTGTGTGTGGTACCTTGGGCAGTCTCTCGGGGTCTCCGGGGTGACGAGGGATGACCTTCTGTAACCTCTGGAAGCCGTAGTCTATAGTGGGTTCGTTTAAGGCTGAGGGCGAGAAATTGATTGATCAGCTATCAGAAAGTTATGGTCACAGTCATCGATCAGTCATCAGGCTAATTTTATTCTTTTATTTAAAGCTTCTGTATGTAACTGTCATTGTGTAGAGAACCTTTAACTTACAGCAGGAATAGTATATTTTGTGGCGTGTTAAACATTAACCATGTGCTTATATACAGAGAGGGGGCTTATGGGTAATCAGAGTAAACATAAATATTAATACAGTGTCTGGTCTTCCTGTACAGTGATTGTCTTATACATACTTTGTCATCAATAAAAAGACCATTGAAAGAAAACAGTGTCTGGATGCGCTGGTTTCCTGTGTGTAACTGGTCAGTTTACTGGTTTCAGCTGGAGAACAAAAACACATAACAGCTGGTGGAACATCATTAAAGTCCTGTTGCTTAGCAACAACAACAATCCCACAAGATTTCCCCCCAAAAAACTCCAATGAGGAAGTCAACCACTCTGATCTCTGATTGGTCACTTTCAATCTGACACACTTCTTCTTCTTCTCCTCTCACATCATTTACAGTTCAAACTGGTGGGGAGGCGATAAATCAGAGCGTCAGTGAACGCAGCAGAGCACAAAGTTTGTGTGTGTGTGTGTGTAGTGCATGAATCATAATCCCGTCTTGGTTGAGCTGCGTTTAACAAGCTTTAGACTGACTCTATACATCACAAACAGAGTGTGAGTGTGTGTGTTCAGTCCTTGAAGGCTCACAGGGCGGAACAAGCAGCAGTTATAAGAGTGTGTTAGCTCTCCAGATGTCTGTGTTATCTACAGCCTGCTGTGTGTGTGTGTGTGTGTGTGTGGTGGTGGTGTGTGACCTTGTGTTGTAGACAGTTTATTATCACCTGTGTGTCTGTTCACCTGCAGTCTGTCGTCTTTAAAAGTCTTTATGGATCAAACTTAAACTGATCTTCAGTGTCTTTCATTTTTGTCCTTAAAGTACACATGAAACAAAATCACAGCGCCTTTGCTTCAGTTTATATATAATTAACGTCCCAGCCAACTGGTCTCTGTCGGACTGGGAGCTCCCAGTGAACAACAGGTTCAGACTGGTACTGAATGCAGCATCTGATACTGACGGAGGACAGTTTGACTGCAGGGAATAAAGGACTGAGGTGGTTTTACTGCCAGATTTGGCTTCTGCCACCCTGGGCTAAGTCAGCTAACGTAAGGTGCAAGAGCTAACTAGCTAACAGCATCTAACATTACGGTTACCGATAGTTAGCGTCTTTTAGCAACAAGTCCAGTAAATCACGTCGGTACCGCTGTTGTCTTACTGTCCTCTGTCTGTCTCGGAGGTTGTGTTCACTGGGAGGCTGCTGAGCCCCGTTCGGTTGCATAATCAGCTGATAATAAGGAGTCACAGTAATCCAGCCTAGAGGTAAAAAATGTATGAACAAGTTGTTCTGCATCGGTCTGTAACAGGATGTGTCGGATTCTTGCAATGTTACTTAAGTGAGAAAAGGCAGTTTGGTTACCAGAATCCAATATTCTTCCTAAATATGAGAAACAATTTGAGCTCCATAATGAGACACTATATATGTTTGTGACAGCTTCAGTCAACAGGACTGACTCTGTTATATTCTGTATTAATAATCTGGATCTATATGTATCGATAATAAAGTTTAGTTTAGTAGAAGGAGTCCAACTGGAGCTGCAGATATGGTAAAAACATCATATTGTGATTATTCTGAATGATATTTTGTCACATATGATGAGTGGGAATGAAAGTTCTCCTCTTTAGTCTGTAATTTACATATTGCACTCGGCCATATTGACATTTTTATCATATTTATTTATTATTTGTTGCAGCTCAAAGTTCCTCAAAACTGTGCAAAACCTGCAGGTTTTTATGGATTAATACATTTTACTTTATAGAAAATAAACATTATTTCATTTTCTGCATCAATGAAAAGTTTCACTGCTGATAGTCGAGTAAGTTGAGTATCAGACAGACAGACAGACAGACAGACAGGGAGTCACGTCTTACAGTACAAGAAGTCAATACAGTATTTAGAGGAGAGACAATGTGGTGTCGTATTGTGTGTGTGTGTGTGTGTGTGGGGCGGGGGGGGGGGGGGTCAGAGAGGAGGCCTTGGAACGATCAATACTCTCCGGTCAATGCTCATTGAAATTTCATGGAGCTGTCTGTCTGCTTGACGACTCGTATTAACACATTTTATCTGCTCGCTGTGTGATGTCATCAGAGAGATGACCCCGCCCAGTGCGATGTGTTCAAGTGCAGTCGTAGAGATCAGCGCTGAGTCTGACTGCACAAGTAACTGAATACATTTACTGAAGTGTTTTATACCTTTAAACGTCTCCTCCACTACAGTTACAGTCACAGCTCACTTTACAGTAAGTTGGACATCCAAATAAACTAAATAAATAATAAAATATAAAGCACTGTTAAAGATAAAACTACGATATAAAGTTCTTAAAATCAGTTCCACCTCCTGTATCAATACACATTAATACATCAATACAACATCATTAAATTGAACCAAATTAAATATATTTTGCAGATGATAAATTACTTTATTTGAGTATTTAAACAGACAGTACCAAGGTCATTCACAGAGTTCCTAGTTTAATATTTTCTGTTCAGCTCCACCAACCTCTGTCCCTGATCAATCTCTGTCCCTGATCAATCTCTGTCCCTGATCAATCTCTGTCCCTGACCAATTCTGTCTCTGATCAACCTCTGTCTCTGATCAACTCTGTCCCCGATCAATCATTGTCTCTGATCAATCTCTAGCTGATGAGCTGCGTGAGGTTCGATGGTCAAGACTGAAATCAGCTGCTAGAATCCCAAAGCAGGAACCAAATGTTGGACTTCTAAAGGTGGGCAAAGAGGACTCTGGGGGGGCATTGGTTGCAGGGACAGGGGGCATTAGTGCAGGGTCGGGGGGCAGTACATTTCTAACATTAAACTTTGTACTCAACATTTCTGGTTCACGTTGCTGACAGTTCTCTCCCGCCATCCCGGCGTTGAGTCAGTTAGCTTAGCTAACAGTTGGCTAAGTTATTGTCCATACTTTGTCCATTCAGGAGCATTCCAACATTATTCATCTACACTGTTTTCTAAGCACTTTCTTACTTTTAGACGAGTTGACAAACTTTGCATTTTTGTTTAGTCGTATTTATTTCTCTGCCTCTGTTCTCTGCTGTGTGGAAGGAGTGATGCATGCTGGGAGCAGCGAGTTGCAGGGTGGAGGTGAGCGGGACAAACTGCTCTGAAGCACTGAGGTGTGAAAGCAGCTGCTGTATGAAAGTGAAGGTCATGTGACTGTTGACGTCACAGGACTGTGTGTGTGTGTGCGCTCAGAGGTCATTAACAGGAAGGTCCACAGGCTCCGTGTGAGGGTTAATGGGATTTAAATGTGTGTAATTACTCTGACAGCAGTGTGAAATCAAACACCTCCACTGATCTGCTGCAGAGGGAAAGACGGAGGGAGGAAATGTCCTCCAAACTGTACGTCACTTCCTGTCTTCAGGACGACCTCTTTTGGGTGAAACCAGTTGGAAAAGTTCCTTAAAACTGCTGCATCATGCTTTTTGGGTTATTTTTAGTGTCTCTGGTCGATGTGGGCGGAGCTCCTGTGTGACATAAATCAACTATATGAAGAGCAGTTATAGTATTCAGTCGTAGTATCAGAGTCAAATGTGACTGATTTACTCTCATAGCTCCTTATTGGTCTGCTGTCAGCAACCTGAAATGTTTTATGTTAGAAATGTACAGTATGGGTCCGAGCATTCAGCGTCCTCAATAACCCCCATAACCACTCCTAGATTGTCCACAGGAAACTCTGTACTCAACAGTTCTGGTTCACAGTGGTCTGCAAACAGACTATTTTGGGTTGGCTGTGAGCTCGGCCAATCAGAGTGCGGCTGTTACCTGTGTAAACGAAACGTCCCGGTGCTCCTTTACAGAACTGTTTGGACTTGTAGGACAGCGTGACCTCCACGACCCCGGGGATGTGACGGGGAGGAGTCTGGACCCGGATAGCATGAGGGGTGATCAACTGGACAGAGAGACAGACAGAGAGACAGACAGAGAGACAGACAGAGAGAGAGAGAGAGAGAGACAGAAGTCTCAGAAGGTTTTACAGTCTGGTATAACAGCTGGACCAGTGGCCGTTGTATAGGGCTGGTGTTGGACTTTGATACCGGTTCCTGAACAATATAAAATACATTATATACATTATACATTATGGTACAATGGCTCACTGGGTAATACTGTCAGAGTGAGACCTCTCACTGTCTAACCCCGTAACCTCCCTACAGCCTTACAGAATGTCACATGGTAACGATGACCATCTACTGATCGTCTCCTCCTCATCTTGCACTGATACCCCACTAGTTACAATTTATCAGGCATTAAAACCGCCCCAGGCCACCCTCCCTCTATATATAGCCGTCATGCACTTTTTATCACTCTAGATCTTGTCCAATGGATGTGATATCTTCTGTTCATATTTTCTTTGACAACATTTCGGACGGCTCGTGTACTGTCTCTCCCAAACCTACACTTACACTTCTGAACAGATTGATCCTCAGCTGGTCTTCGACATGATATCTTTTGACTTTAATGAGTGAGAAACTCTTGGAGCGGCTCAGAACAAATATGTTTTCACCTGATAGTCAACGTAGTAAATCCGTTCTAGCTTACAATCTCCACGCTACTCTTCTTCAGGGTGTGCTGTCAATAAAGGACTCGGTAACTTGCTAGTCCAGTACGTCACGATCGTAAAAAGAAAGCGTTGTTCCTTCTCGATCCAGAATCATTAAATGACGGGTCTGCCGGCTCCACCCCGTTGGACTTAGAGGCGCAAGAAGTCTAGCACAGATGTTGAGCTGGCTGGCTCGCCTGCCAGCCTGGTCAGACACACATGGGATTTCGGGGTTCGGCTGCTGGAAGAAGAGCAGAACCAGACGACCAGAGGAGGGAGAGAAGAAATAAATGTAAGAATTACTGAAGAGGGGATTTTAAAAGAAGAAAGCAAATATATAGGGCATAACATTCTGCGCTAGGTTTCACGCCTCTGTGAGCGAAAACCTACTACAATGGCCATTATGTTTGTTTAGGGTATGCCTCTTGATTGTAAAATGTAATAAAAAATAAACAGATACATAACAGAGAATGATATCCAATAATCAGAGAAACACTTCGCCAATCATAATGATCAATTATTCACGAGGAAATAATCAACTTACATGCAGTTATTGAGTTCACTGTTTGGGTTCATTGTTTATAATATGAAATATCCATAAAATATGTCATTTAGTTTACTCAGTGATAGAAAAGTGATCCCTTCAGGAAAAAGGTTGGGAACCGTGGCCCCAAAGAAACTAAAGTCCCAGTCGAGGTCAGTCTTGGGGGGCAGTGAGGAGAAGCTCTCACTGAAGACTGAACAGAAAAACTAAACACAAGAGAGAAACACGTCTGAGCTCTCCAGACCAGATCCGAGGTTATCTGGAGGGACACACAGCATCCTTCCACCTGAATGTTGTTAAAGTCTGAACAGAGCAGTGCAGATGATCCGTGCTTCAGCTCGTACAGAGCTCTGCTGTCTGTTAAGACATCACTGCACTGACTCCATGTTTCTTTACATAACTGATTTTAAGTTTGATTAACTCAGAGCTCTTAATGATGTATAATAACACCTTCTTACATCTCAGCCAGCGTTGATTCTGGTTCTGCTCCCAAAGTTGCCCGAAACATGAGCGAGACTTTTAGCTACTTGGTTACCGTCCATATTCAGACTCTCCTGCTCTCTATCGCTTTTTATCTGTTTTACTGCTGTCCCTTACCTTTTTATTCAGTCTCACTCTATTTTGGCAGATATGTGTGTGTATGGATTTTATCTAATATTATTATGTTCTGTTATTAATAACATTGATTTATTGTGTTTTGTTTTTAATGGCGCACTGTAAAGCACTCTCAGCTGCGTCTCATGTATGAAAGATGCTGTATAAATAAAGTTATTGTTCTCTTATTATCAGCACTGAGACCTCGGGCTGTGATGAGAGTATCTCTGATCCAGCTGGAATAAAACACTGAGTGTAGTAAATGAATATTTCCCATTGATCACAGTGTGGGATCATAATCTATGAGCTCTATGAGTGAAATTAAAGTGTTTACTCTGATTACTGAGTGTTTCAGTAGATTTAAATGTAATCTTTGTTTAATGTCTGTAAAGGTGAGGGTCCCGACCCACAGGTTGGACACCATTTTAACATCACTGTAAACTACTGAAGGTCACACACACACACACACACACACACACACACTGAGGATGAGATTTAATTGGGTCGCGGCTTTTATCCGCTTTAAGTCTCACACACACACACTCACACACACACACACACACACACTCACACTCACTCAGCCGGTAATGACTACTTTCTCTCTCGTCTTTCAAGTGCGGCTGCAGATTAATTATAAAGTGAAATGAAAGCACAGAGTGTGAGTGTGTGTGTGTGTGTGTGTATGTGTGTGTGAGTGTGAGTGTGTGTGTGTGTTAATCTCACTCAGACTTACTGACATTACAGCACCTGGCCTCTATTCTCTTCTATTACTGACGGTTTAGTTTCTGTAGGAACTCAGCCAGACAGCGGAGCTGAATGAACACTGTAAATAATAATACTGAATGAAGAATAACGATCCCTCATGGATTATCCAGACACATTAACTAACAAGAAAACAAACATTTCGTTATGCTAACCCTCCACCATCTAACAGCCAAATACACACACCGATCAGCATTATGAGCACTGGACTCCCTGACTGATTCCAGACCAACAGACTGCTCTGGCACGCGGTTATGGACCCCGCTTTCTACTCAGAACCAGCATCAAACTGTTTGTTACTGAGCCTCCTTTCCTATCCAGAACCAGCAATTAACTTGTTGTCAAGGGCAGTATTGAGCTACAGTCAGCCTTGTCACCTGTTGATCTGGGGACCCACACGGGCCCATGCTTGTTCACTCGCCACCTGCATCAAATGAGCCTTCGGCGCTGCCCGTTGACATGGTCATACCCGGATTTCTTTTCCTTGCCTTGGCAGTCCCTCACAAATTTATGTGATCGGTAAAGATACTTTGACCGCGACCCTCTGCAGACCTGGGTGAACACCGCCACCAAGAGCTCGGGCAGGTTTCAGGAAGGCTGTTCTGACCGCAGTCGTGCCCCATTCCACGCTGCCCATTTTTCCTGCTTCTAACACATAACTAACTCTGAGAACAAAATGTTCACTTGCTGACTGATATACCAATAACCAAAAAAAAAAAAACAGTCCCAGGAGTTTATCTGTCATGATTTAACTCACAATATTAACAGATTCTGTATCTTCAATATCTAGTGCTAATACCTCCTGATTGAACAGTAGGATTCTGGCTTCACTACAAGCTCTCCACTTCTCTTCTGTTGACTCTAAACACACGAATCACCTGCAGCAGCATGTTTTATGTCCACGAAAAGCAGATAAGAACATCAGAGCAATAAAGCAACAAACATAACGGGCCCCATGCAAGAACATTTTCTAATCTTAACTTTCTCTGACCTTTTCTTCTTACAGTGGGTTTGTACGAGCATATTCACAGATTTCAGTGTAAAGCTCATGAACACCACCTGTGCACACTGTGTGTAAAATATAAGACTGCACATCCTGCCCCATGTGTGAGGAAGTTCATTTGTTGGGACCCAGAAACTTCAAAACAGTCATAAACATAACAGATCATGTTTTTACAGTCGTTTTCTACGTTATTTAAATATCTTTTTGGGCGATTCTGTTGTTTTTATCTCTACTGGTGTTGATACAGCTGATTACATCATCAGTCTGCGTGCATTTATGACGCAATCATTGGTTGAGTTTGGTGTTGCTCTACTTGTGTGTGAGTGCCGGTTGATTTTGATAAGGACATACAAGCAAAAATACACTTCTATGCTGACAACACAGTAATTTATACACATGCTTCCTCATTCATTTTCTTCCTGGTAAAAACAAATAGAGCACCAGAGAGAATAAAGCTGCCAAACTGTTCTATATGTTAAAGGGTGCAACACATTCATTAAACTGTAGGGTGAAAAGAACTTTAGGAGCTTGCAGATTGAAGTCCAAAGTCGTTATAACATAAATTATTATACATTGTGTTTTATGAATTACTAAAATAAAAGTGTTTGCACCACAGAGTTACAACTTAACAACACTTACACATTCACTAAGGCAGTGTAAATGTCTAATAAGGTTGTCTGACGTTATTAGTTGGATTAATGTTTTAATAATGTGGTTATTGATTACTGATGCTTGCTGATCAGGATCATTATCAGCTAATTGGCAGTATGCTGTAAATGGTTGCACTTTGTGTGTTTTCCTTATTAAACATGATGTGCTCGTTTTTAATGATGAAACCTTGTTTGGAGAGCAGACAGACTCTGGGATTACTCCTTGTCAAATTCCTGTTGCTGAAAACCACAACTTGAAGACTCCAGATTACAGACCGAAGGTTGGAGGTCTAAATGGGTTCAGTCCACTTTGAGGACAGAGATTGTAAGCTGGTGGACTGTATCTGTGGTAGGAAGCAGAGTGCTGCTGCAGACAGAGACTCAGGCAGAAACAGTAAAATGAGAGCGAGGGTTCAAACCCACGGGACTGCACTCTGATTGGGAGGGGTGGTTTCTATGGTTACCGTCTTTAATTAGGAGGGCAATTAAAGAGGTTGAACGGCCCGCGAAAAGACACACACACACACACACACGCTGTCCTCTCTGGGGACGGTGAGACGTCTGGTCTTCCTACCCACAAGCCACTGGGGTGACTTTTCTTCAAAGACCAAATTACGCTCCGTTCTCTGCCTCCCTCGCTGGATGTTCAGGTTCCCTGGTTCAGATGCTTTTATGTAACGACCACATTCAGACTGACTGATCAAACTGATTGATCAGACTGATTGATCAGACTGATTGATCAGACTGATTGATCAGAGCGGAAAAAATCTAAAATGAGGGTAGTGATATTGATGAAACGATGAAAACTCTATAAAATGAAAGAGTTGAGAATTCCGAGCTGTCAGTGGGTAACGGTTTTATTTGCTTATGTAAAGTTAAAAACTTGTAGAAAGTACAAGAGTAAAACGTAACTTACATATGGAACATTAAAAAAAACTTTTTTTTTTGGGACATGAACAGCGGTTTAAGTTTAAGTCCATCCCACCACCTCCTACCAGGTTAAGTGTCTGTTGATATCAAACGCTCCTCAAACTGGTTTCTGCTGTCTCGGTTTAATTTTATCCTCCAGAGATAAAATCTGGAGTTCCTCAGAGTTCTGTACTGGGTCCCCTTTGGTTTCTGGACGTTGTAGTTTTATCACAGCAGCCTGTCGTGGACATTAGAGGACCTGCAGCTGCCTACCTTCAGACGGGTCCAGTCTCCGGGCTCTGCGGCCATGTTTGGAGTTGTTGTGTACGAACATGTTGTCGGAGACGGCGAGAACATGGCCGTCTACGTTCACAGTCGTAGACACCACCACCTGCAGACACACACACAATTTTATTTATAACCCACAGAACAATACACCTGATCTGAAGTGGACAAAACAATGTTCAACAGGAGGATGGAACCTTGCATGCATTGTAATAGGGACATGAGTCTGTAAGATTTACTTTTTCTTTTGTATAAATAAAAATCAAAATGATTAAACATGAAGATGAATGAGATAATCTTTGCATCAATCTATGCAATCTGAATATTATTGTAAATGTGAAATCCCTCATATATCTTTAATATAATCAATATTTCTAAAACATGAGCTGAAAAATGTAGAAAACACCTTAAAAATCAACAAATCAATAAATAAAAACTGGAAATGAAAGAATATATTTAAAGATATTTGTAAGAACAGTCGTTGGCGTGCTGTCTTCCCTAGCCCCGCCCACCCCTTGTGATGTCACAGCCTCTCTCCGGACTCATTCATCATCCCTGGCTGGTTGCCGTGGCGAGGTTGTTGCCGTTGATCCATGGCGACGGAGCAGAAGGTCGCACAGAGAGCGAGTAGAGGTGTCCTCTCTGTCGCCACGGTGACTAACCGGCACATCCTTCACCCTGCTGTCGCCACGACAACCACAGACAAGTGCGGACGCTTCACCTGACTTCACCTGTCTCAGTGATCTGACTCCTCTCTCTCTCTCTCTACATGCTCTCTGAGGCTCGCTCGCCCCGTCTCCCTCCCTCCCTCCTCTCCTGGTTTAACTGGACTTAACATCCTGTCAGCTCGCCCAGCGCAGCGTGGAGAGAGAGAGTGTGTGTGTCTGTGTGTGTGTGTGTGTGTGTGTGTGAGTGTGAGTGGAAACTGTGAGACAAAG